TTTGAACTGCTGCACAGATGTTGCTTCAATCACATGTTCAGGTAAACTGTTCCAAATGTTTACCACTCTCCGTTCGAAGCACAGTGGGTGGGGAACACATTTCACATCCGGCACGACAAGTTTGTATCTGTGTCTACGTGTGCTGCATGGCCCTCGTAAGTGCAGCATTGGCCTTAGCATTGGGAAGTCACCGAGATGTAGCATACGGTAGGTCATAATGAGGTCGATTCGCACCCGGCGGTAGGACAAGGTGTAGAGTCCTAGTTTCTCGCACCGGTCTTCATACCCCAAGCCACGTAAACTCGGGATGAGCCTGGCAGCAACGTGTTGGACCCGTTTGATCTTTGTGCCTCGCCTCGGGTAATCGGAAAGTAGGCGGGCGAACTGTACTCTATCATTGGTCTAATGATAGAAGGGAAGAGGCGAGTGGCAACCTCTTCAGACCATGTGCCGGAGCTACGTTTGAGCGCCCAAAGCATGCGCAGTCCGTTACGATATAGCCTGTTCGTGTTGTCCACGGACTTCAAATCGTAGCGTGAGAGTATACCTAGGTCTTTCACGGAGGGTGTGGGATATAGCGGTTGGCCGTCAAAGGTGTAGGTTCGGCCGTCAGTATCCTTCCCCAGGCACATAAATACAGACTTGGCTGGGTTGACCGGGAGAAGAACTTCTGCAGACCATGTGCATAGGCGATTGAGGTCCTGCTGAAGTAGGCCACAGTCATCGGGAGCGTCGATTTCTCTCCAACTCTTCATGTCGTCCGCAAACAAGGCACACGGCGACCGGAGAAGCTGCGGTAGATCATTGATGTGGATCAGGAACAAAGTGGGACCCAGCCTTGAGGCACGCTTGTCTTGTTTTTTCGCGAAAGAAAGTTGATTGAATGTACAATGCTCGCTTCTCTCGTAATGGTTACTTCTGCGTTCCCGACTGACAAACTTGGAGTGCATGCATTACAATCCCGTTATTGTTTAATCCACTTTTTCTACGTACGTCTTTAGGCAAAGTGCCACAGTACTGCATGAATCCAATGTGTGTTCCTTGCCTTGAGAGAAAGGGCACGGTTGGGCTAGGTTGGCACTTCAGCATCGTCATTTCACTTATCTGGACAACCGGATTGCGAGCTCCATCGCAATGAGGCTGGTGCAATGGTTTGCGTTCCTCAGCGATCCATTGAGCTATGCTGTGTGGTGCTCTTTTTACGCCTTCAGCAACACTCATACCAGATTGGTCAATGGTTAGAGGCCAGACAAACAGTATGCTGGCGTTCCAGCTTAGGGGTTGGAATGAGGGTGGCACCTTATTCCTTAAAACCCCTACTCCCTGTAGCCCAAGGCTAAACCCGCTGCCTTGAGGTCAGGTTTTTGAACCGGAGGATTTGGTTGAGAATCCTAATCGTTCTTCTGTCTAGTCCTGGGCAACCTGACAGTATCCTGCGCACGCAATACAATGAATCTCTCTTCAAACAAATTTCTCATGCTCTGGCCACCGCAGAAGATAATCAACGGTGCCCTGTCTGTTGCATCGAGCAGGGTGGATATGGGTTTGGATGCTACTGCTCAAGCCTTCCCGTCTTCTTATTCCCCCTCTTGCGCTTTTTCACTCTTATCGTCCCCTTCCAACTTTACTTTTATCCCCCCTTTCAATCTCCAATTCTTGACCCTTCCTACCATGCTTTGATAGGCGTATATCTTCTAGTTTCAACTCGCACGCAAATGCGGAGCGTCACTGTTGCCTTATCGAGAAGGCCATGTCCAAGCAAGCGGTCAAGCCCAGTTCATCGGCTTCTATTTGGAGCCACCGATTCTTCCTCAGATTGGCATGCCTCAACGTATTTGCATTCTTACAGACCGGTCAAGAGACAGCACTTGCTCGTACATTAGAGACCCTGTCCATCGATATCTGCTACTTATCGCAGACCCGTCTGCAAAACGAGCTCTGTGCGCACTCTGCGATCCCCTTCAGGTGATACCAGCAGTATTTTCTGATTGCACCTATCCGGAGACGATGCAACTTCGAATACCAGCCAGACAGGTGTTGGAATTGCCCTGAGTCCCTGGGCTGAAGCTGCTCTGGTTGATTAGATCCCAATCAGTAGTCGGATATGTGCGGTCCGACTGGTTGGCTGGTTCACAGCCCCGAAGTCACATGGGGCTGCCAGATGTCTGTTTATCATTGCTGCCTACACCCCGACAAACTGTAGCGATGACTCGGTAAAAGACGACTTCTATCGTCCACTCCAGCGTAAGCCATCGGTTGCCTTGCTTCAGATTTGCGTTCTCGTTCCCGGTGTTGCTTCAGCTGTACTTGGTTCATTCTGTGTTTATTTCATCCGATCTCTCTTCGACATTTGCGGGCAAAGCGTCTTAAGTCTGCGAGCATAAAAAGAAAATCTGACTTTGTAAAACGTCACGAATGTACTTGGACCAGGAGAGGTTTTAGAACAAAAATATACCGAGGTACTTGACAGTGGACGGTCTGTGTATGGGATCATCGAACATTTAGTGTGCGGCAGATATATATGGGAAATTGCAGCTTATCGACATAAGGAAAAGGGAATACTACATCACTGCATTTGTAAGTCTTACGAGTAAGCGATCTAGATGGATCATTCCTCCGCCTAATCTCTTCATCAGATGAAGCAGATGGTTCAGAGACGAGATGTTTTCCAGTTTGCCACACTTGTGGTCTTGGGGGAACACGTACCTTCGTCATGGTAAGGCACATGAAGAGAATACCACCACACGGTTTGCAGCTATGTGTTTTTCATCCAGTAGTTTCATGCTCTTTTGGATCCTCGTCATGAGTACTTGCAGTCTTTGTTGTGTATCCGTTGGCCTAATCTGTTTTGTATGGTTGAAATGCACGGGATGCTTGAACGTTGCGCTGACTCATGTGGTTCTTCTAATTACCTGATTACTACTTCTAGTACTGCGGCTGCTGCTGTTGTTGCTTTGAGATGTGTTTGCACCTGGTTTAAATTTTTACAATGCCCAACATTTGTATCTAGGACGGTTATTCTCCTGTTGTATCTCTCCATTATGCCCTCACGCTTTCACGTGAACTGCCTAAGCGATCGCACTATGTGTCGACGTCACTGGAGTACATTATTCGGAGCAAGCAACGGGAAAATAAATCCACTTCCGATCCTTGGAATGCCGGTGATTTGCCCCACGCTTGCTACAATTCAGTCACACAACTCGTAGTTCAACTCGGAATGGCTATCATTTTTCACCATTACCCCGGGTTCAAGGGATTACAGCTTAAATAAATAATTAAACTACTTATTTCTCGACAATGCGAGGTGCGGCCCAACTAGGTGATCTGATCATTTTGTACAGCGTGTGATATAATTGTTCCAGTTGTTTAATGTTATCCCCAAACAATTTATCAGAGTTCCTACAGGTGGTCCTCATATCTTGTCTTAATTGCCATACCCTCTTTTTTTTACCGATGTCTGAGACTTACCACCATTTAAAATCTCCCATAGTGTAACAGTTCAAACATCTCACCGCAATCCCCACTTTCCGGATTTTGTTGTTATCTTCTGGCACTATCTCAGCTAGTGTACAATCGGTTGTTGTCACAAAGAAACGAGAGTGGTAGCCGATTGTCACAGGGTGTTCACCGGTTCGAGACTGTGTAGATGCGAATGACCCCGCAACATGTTTGGAGGAATGGATTAGTTAACCATATATAGAGCAAAATCCAGTGGAACGATCGCGTTAGTCGTTTAAAAAATCGCTCTCCAGTGATATGTTACTATTATTGGTAAGTACGGCATAGTAACGAACAGAGAACGTTCAATGTCACCAGGAACACATAAATAACTGCAATCTACGCCTTTTAGTTGATTCGCAGTTTGCGGCGATTAAGCTGGTGACCCATCATCATCATTCATCATTATACACATCAGATAGAGGTGGGAAAACACCTCCGCTATTGCGCCCTAACGCAACAGTCGATGCGTAGCTCCGCCCCTCGGCGAACTGCCGATTCTTTTGCCCTCTAACCTATCCTTCAAAGATTTCGTATGTAAAGTAATCTTTAAACCACTTCTGATTGGTTATCACCCTCACATCACAGGATGAAGACTGTGCTTTTGCATGTGGCCCACCCAATAACCTCAACGCTTGTATTATTTGTCACATTGAGTTAGTTTCTCGCGAAACAAGAACAGTCACACTGGGCCCTTCACATCAGAGCGCTTGGAGCAATCTCAAGCGCAAGCTATCTCGCTCCCAGTTTTTCTGGGGATCCAACCATTACTTGTTGTTTTGAAAACTATGAGTTACCTCTGCTCTTTTTGTAATTTCCACATTTCTGTCACGGATACTGACATGGTATGTGAGATGCTTAGGGGAGTGTGTACTCTATCCTATATGACCTTCATGTCTGCGTAATACCTCAGCGCTTCCTGCGTATGATTCGAGTGTTGAACGCGCGCATGTCTACAGGACTCCTTCACCTCGATTACTGACTTCGTGTAGCTGCTATACTGTACTGGGAACGATGCAATGTGCAGTGTTTGCCGCGTCACAACCCAAAAAGTGGTTTTACTCCGGAATGGGCTGCGGTAAAACCGCTGCACTTTGTACTTTTAGTGTGTCTGTGTGCATGTTCCTTCCACTTCCTGTCGACACCATTTCCTTGCTCTCCAAATGTTCGCAAATTGTTCACCAGTCCTTAGCACTTCCACGCTATTCTCTCCGTACGTGTGTTTAAATGGAGTAACAACCGTTTTCTAGCTACTTGTGACTCCAATCTGCATTTCTCCTGATCTCATTCCTTCTGGTCTCCACTGCATATCATATGTGTGTGTGTGTGTGTGTGCGTATGAACTTGTAGGTGTTGTTTACCTTGGTGCTCGCAGTCCCAGTGACGGGAGCTGTGCGAATACATCCCGCTGACCACTAGTCCTGATGCACATCTAGTAATTTTCTATGGAAGACACACCAATCCACAAATCCTTTCTCTCTCTTCATTCCGCCTCATCACAGCTGTACGGAGTTGCTTTTACTTTCCACGAACCGTATGATCCTAGCAAATTGGATTTACAAATGTGCTATCTTCTCGGTGTGGAACCGGATTTCCTGTTCCCTCACTCCCAAGCCGTACAATCGGAGAGCAAGTTGAACCCCGAAGAGGAGGCCAAGATTACATCACGTCAAAAACATTTCATTCGCTCTCGCATCGGGGATCGCGTCGTCGGTGTAACCAAGACTATGTGCATTCTATCTCGCTGGTCATTTCCCGTTGCGTTCACCAACTTTCTTGCTTTCCTCTACAGTCGGTGCCTGCCAGGCGTTGGCAATGGTGCAATCCCCCTGGAAAGGTCAGTTCCTTTTTTCACGATGGTTCGGTTGCAACATGTCTTCTAACTCATCACTAATTCATGATTGTGGAGAGCGTTAATGTGTGCCTTTTTGTTTTTGCGACATCTTACTGCACTTCGATACTCAGTCACCATCATCTTGGTTGACTTTGTAACTAGTTGCATCCCATTAGAAACGCTTAGCGTGTTTAAGTGATCTCTCAACCTAACACCAAGCACCTTTCATTCCATTTGATCGTCTGGGTTTGGTCTGCCATCTTCGTTTTTCTGTCTATATTCTTCACGGATGGAGATCCCGGGATCGATCACATCAGTGGTCGACTACTATGGAATATGGTGCACCAAGAAGTGGTCAGCGGTGCTCTCACGGATCTCAGTGGCTTAGTGATCAAGACGTTAGCCACGAAGTCCCGAGTTCCACTCCCAGCTAAGTCGATCACTGCCTGGTGAGTCCAACCGAGGACGAAACCCTCAGTTGTGGGGTGTCAGTACTGGGAGAAGCAATGCCAAAACCCAGCGACTTATGTCACATTAGTCAGTGGAGGATGAGCCGCGCTATATCGCAGTTAGATATCAGTCATGGCGGTCCGCTGCCGTCGCTCATGGCTCAGTGACATAAGTCTCTGACTCGCAAGAGTAAGGTCGTGGGTTCGAATCCGGCAGGATTCGGCGGGTGCGCGCTACTGACGAGTCCCAATAGGACGAAACGGCCGTCTAGCGCTTTCCTGGATGTGTGGTGACCGTCTGCCTGTGTCTAACTGCGACGAACCTACCCAAAAACCTAATACATCCCGTACTACTTACAAGTAATGACAATATTAGTGGCGGTGGTAATTTTCACTTTGTTGCTTAGGCAGATGCCGTCGGGTTCCCCAGAGCTAAACAAAGGATTTTCGGCCAAAGTACTCGATCCAAAAACCTGTACGCAACGGGTCGAGAGCTTGGCTGTTGTAAGGAGTAAGCCTCCACCCCCTCCCCACAATATTAAGCACCTAGAGGCTAAATTGGTATAGCGTCTAACCTTTGACTAAGTTAACGCAACTACAAACTTGTGAAAATCACCAACCGACATAGTTCAGTCGGTGACCCATGAACATACATCCTCCCACCAAGCTAGAGTCCAGTATCATTTCAGTGATCTAATTTTCAATGTATAATAAAAACCAGGTATATTATCGTCGTTCTTATTTCCCTCCTCCTTTTGATGACCATCTCATTGGTCCCTTCTAGTGTCCTGATAGATAAAATGTTTCTCCACCTCTAGCTAACGTGTCAAATGTTTCTTCTTATGTTTAGTGGTTGTGGTGGTGATATTAGTAGCGGCGGCAGCAGTGCTCGTGATGTAGCTGTCAATCGTTTCGGACATTCTTTTCAACCTGGAGATGCAAAATCCCTCTCCAAGTTTGGCAGGGACCCACATCCTCGCTGCCTTTTACTGGTGATCTATTAGAAGTCGTTCAGAAATTCAAGTATATGCTTAGTTATATCAACGCGTGTGAAATAGATGATGAGGTCGCCATCTGTATCACATAGGCTCGAGAAGCTTTCGCCAATCTCCGCCACCTGTGGTGCCGGCATGACATCATTCTTACTCTAAAGGGTAGAGTTTACAATGCAGCCGTCCGTGCAACCCTGGCCCATCACCGGTCGACTGACGTAAAGAGGCTAGTCACCTTCGACCATTGCTGCTTTCACAGCGTAGCTCAGATGTGGTGGGAACATCGCGTGAGCAATGAGCCTGTTCCACCTCTCACACTTATTACAGGAAGAGCGAGTGAATTGCTCACGCACCGGACTACGATGGCTGAGCCACGTGTTACCCATGCCAACAGATTGACTCTCGCGACGCGCGTTGTTTGTGCGTCCGGGGTCCGGATAGAAGAGGAGGAGAAGCCAGTCGATAACGTGGTTAAGAATACCGAAGTCTTTCACTTCAAACTGCGTTTCGGTTGGTTTCTCCCGACCCCCAGGTTGTGGCCCGAAAGGCCTTGAACACGTTTGGTTGGATACACCAGTTGACAAATCGAATAATCGATCTAGATGGCGTTTGTGTTGTGAATTATTTTGTCTCTCCCTCGCACCCTTTTTTTCTTCCCCCCTCCATTCACTATCTCACACTCGATACGTATTATGACACTGAGCATCATATCACATGTTTGTTATTTTATATTCTGTAGTGTTTTTTGTCGACCAATACTGCATATTATGAATAGAGAGCGAGGAGGTAAAAATCTTTGTTGCTCCATCTTAGGTGGACTGGACACATGCGCGGAATCACGTCGCTGATTCCTGAGTGGTGGCAGCATATCGTAGCCGCACTGTTTCTTATCCAGGTGCGATACGCTCCCTATACCTGTAGTCCGCAAAGTGGGCGTCGAGTGATTATTTAAATTCCGACACCGATTTCGCATCGACCAGCGTCTCCAGTAATTCGTTCCAAGGTTTCACCACTCAACGCTCGAAGCATAGAGGGTGAGCTATGCGCTTTAAATCCTGTACAGCTAGTTTGTACCGATGTCCGCTGCTTGGTGCACGAACCTGAAGCAGCGACTTCAACATAGGGAAGTGGTCCAGGTGCAGTATCCGGTGCGTCATAATGTGATCAACTCGAAGCTGACGATATGACAGGGTATACAGCCCTAGTCTTCTACATCGGTCCTCGTACGACACTCCCTAAACTAGGGATGAGCCGGGTAGCTACATGCTTGACCCGTTCTAGTCTCTACACCTCACTTATTGTGATCGGACAATAGGTGGGTGAGCCGTACTCAAACGCCGGTCTTATCATGGAAGAGAATAGACGGGTGGCAATCTCTTCAGACCAAGTTCAGAAGCTGTGTAGTCCGTTTGCGTACAGTCTGTTCATGTCGTCGACAGACTTTAGATCACAGCGTTAGTGTACCCCTAAATCCATGACGGAACTGGCGGGATGCAGCTGCTGACCCACCAGGGTGTACGCATGCCCATTACCACCTCCACCCAGGCTCATAAACGAGGACTTCACCTGGTGGACCGATAGGTCAACTTCTGCAGACCACCTGGATAGGCGGTCGAGGTACTGCTGAAGGCCGCCACAGTCGTCGGGAGAATCAATAATCACGGGCAATGCTGGTCTTCAGCAAGACAGATGTTCTCATTTCATTAATATGTATCAATATCAGAAATCAGTTCAGGGTGAAAAATTCTTCACCCTGCACTGATTTCTGAGAATCAATAACCCTCCATCTCTTCAGGTCGTCTGCAACTAATACCCACGGCGACCGAAGAACCTGAGGTACTTCGTTGTTGTTGATCTGAAACAAAATGAGCCCAGTACCGTGCCTTGGGGTACGCCACTAATGGACGGGTACCATTCCGTTAGGTGGTCATCCATCTGAACCCGCCATCTTCTCTCAATAAGAAAGTCACTGATCCACTGGTGCAATGTACCACCAACACCACACATCCTCAACTTGTGGAGCAGAACCTCATGATTCACTTTATCGAAATCTTTACTGAAATCAATGTTGACAATACCCACTGACTTTCCTCGGTTCAACGCTTGCAACCATTCCTGTCGTGTCAACAGCATGTTGCTGATACACGATCGACCCTTCATGTAGCCGTGCTGTGCCTGAGTTAGGAGATTTTTCAACTCCATCAGCTGGAAAAGATCCTTTTTCACAATCTTCTCGAGCACCCTCGCCAAAACTGAGATGAGAGAAATAGGCCGGTAATTGTCCACATTGCTTGGGTCACTGCCTTTTGAAATCGGCTTTACTACCGAGCATTTCCATTCACTCGGCAATGCATCCTCGGACATCGGTCTGTTGAACATATCACTTACGGCAGGCGAGACGATGGCCGATAAGGACTTTAAAATTAGCGCTTGAAGTCCATCGGGTCCGGCAGCTTTCGTGCCGTCAAGACTGGCGAGTAAACTACGGACATCTACACCGCAGTCCAGATCCAGTAGCAGTCGAGATCGGCATAGGCGTATGCCCACTTGTAAATAGAGAAGCGAAGTGCTCTACCAACGCAGACGCACATTCAGTGCTGGAGGTCAGAGGCTGTCCGTCAGTGCCATCTAAAACTGTTACGTCACTTGCGATCCTCAGGCGCCGCTTAACTTAAGCAAAACTCTTCTTGGAAGCCATCTTCGCTGAGGTTGCAAGCTCCTCTTTGAACTGCTGACGTTTTTGCGTTGTTGCATTGATTCCGCTGCATTTTTTATGCCTCATAATCGTCGACAGAGCCAGACATGAGGAATTTCTTCCACAATACTCGTCACTGTCGAGCCAATTAAACCTACTCTCCGTCAAACAAATTTGGCTTCGCTGGTCCAGCTTTTCGATACTTGAGGGGTACAAAACGAGCGCACAACGATTACACACCCTCTTTTATAACCGACCAACTGACTTCAACAGATGGATCCTGCGGCAGCGACCAGTCTACTTCACTGGCGGCTCGATTGAGACCATCGAAGTCGGTCTTACAATAATTGCAGGACGGCCCCGGCGAACGCGAGTAGGGCAGCGGCAGCTCTAGGCTGGCTAACGCCATCGACTGGTCACTAGCTGCCCGAAGCTCCCGGACCTAAATTTCATATACACGTTGCTCGCACACCGTTAATAGTAGGTCTAGGCACAATGGAGCGGAATGCGCTGTAACGCCCATCAGTTGGCAGCCATGTGCTACCCTAGTTTCAAATACCATCTCCGCAAACTGCGCCTCGATTTCATAGTGCCCGGGGCGAACTTAACCCTCAGGCCACCGTATACGAGGGAAGTTAAAATCCCCCATAAGCAGGAAGCGGGGCAGACTCATGTAGTTTCTGACATGCGGCAACCAATCCAGGCATCGACTTCGCGGACTGCGATAAGCCGCACCCACAAACAGTTCACCCTGTCTCAGGCGGATCGAGCACCATAACTGTTCGCACAGGCCATCTTCGCTGCGCTAGGTGTGTACCAGTCTCGAACACGGCTAGGACCGAATATATAACAGCACGTCGCCTCGAT